GAGCCGGGGCTGCTGGGGGAGAGGGGGAACGGGGCGAGCTGAATCATGGCAGTTGAGAAACACGCATCTTGGGGCACAGGCGTCGAGACTGTCGCACGCAGTGTCTGGGATGTTTGTTCTGCAGGAGGTGTGCGGCTGCTGCAGCCCGCGGGGACAGCTGTCGGCACGCCCGGGGTTGTCGCACAGCTGCTTTTCTCCAAAGGGCACCTCGTGTTCCATCTGCAGATTCTGTCTGTGTAAGAAAGAAAAATACAGCCATTTGTCCCAGATTTTTTCACTATCTGACAACTGCAATCGGGTGCTGACCGTATTGGGTTCCTGGGCGAACGGCCCCTGTCCCGAGCTCAGCTGCGTGCAGGGAGCCGCTGTCCCGCCAGCTCCCTGCCTCCTCTGTTCACACGTGCCGCCGGTGCAGCAGGTTGGCAAGCGCACCCACCGTTATTTTATGTATACTCAGTATACCCAGAGCACACTGAAGTCATTGTGCAGCCACTATAGGCCGCTCTAGATGTGCCCAGCGGTGCTTCCAAACCATTTTGTATTTGCAAAGTTATTGCAATTTTGTGTTTTAAACAATAATGATCTTAATGATGTTGGGCATGATAACTTGTATTTGATTGGCATTTTACTGTTTGTCAACCACTAGTAGCTGAGATCTATAATCCTTACATTAATAGGATTCACTGCTTTTACGAATTGTAGCACGTCGGTAATATACTCTGAAAATCAAAATTATGTCTACATTTTTCAACATTAAATGTACAAGCAGAGTTTTCTGGATGCATAGTTTTAAAATGCCATGTGCATAAAGTAAAGTTGCATAAAATAAAGTTGCAACTATATTGCAAGGCAAGCAGTTTTCTTGTTGATACCTGTACTGGGCTGGCTGACCTGAGTGAGAAGCCAATTCTCCAGTCAACATATGTTGCTTTTTACTGCCTGTCTGTGAACTGTGATTCTCCCCAGGAAAAGAAGGTTGGCATAAGTATAACATAATTGTTGGAGTATTTTTATCAATTTAAAATGGAGACTGCTAATTTTATATCTCTTTATCTCTCTTAGACCATATTATCCTTTGCAAGATGCTGTGATGCATATATTAATTTTGGTGTGCATAGTAATTTAAACACCAAATATGCTTATGTTATAATGTAATGAATCTATAATTATGCAGTATATTATGCTGACAAATGTACTATATGCTGTCAGGCAGTAGAAAAACAGCTGAAGATCTGTGGCTTTAAGAGGAATGTGGATGTCTTAGTATTGTATCTGGCTGGACAGTAAGTAAACTATGTTTCTCTGGCTTTTACTAAAATAGAGCACACAGTAAATGGTAACCTTTCATAGTGCTTTCTGTATCAGATACTCTGAACATGATTTATATGTGAAGTCTCAGTAAATCATATTTATACCTAGTCCATTCATGTTGTGTTGGAAGAAATGGTGAAGATACACTGACCTACACAGCAGAGCTCTGCTCACAGTGAAGTAGTTAACTGCCTCAGCCCTAGATACAGAATCCTTCTCCAGCAACGCAGAATTGCTCGAGGGTCTGTGAGTTCAGAGAGTTGAGCATGGGCTGCTACCACAGGGAGCAGAGGGAGGGGGGAGGCTTAATGGGCTGATCTCTGCCTGTTCTAACTGGCTCGTAAGGCTGGGTGGAAAAAAAAAACGAAAAAACGCAAGACCTGCCCAGTCTGAGAACTGCCAAATTTCTGACCTCCCTGGAGAAATCTGTTATTGCAACAGTGAAACTCATTGGTAGCACCTTTGAAATTACCTGCATCTCTACCATGAAGAATTGAAGGGAGGGCAGGGCAACATGAAGTGAGTACAAGAGCAGTTGTTTGGAGCTGGCAGTACTGATCTGAGAACTGATCTCCTCTGAGAGCTTTATGAAACAGCTTAAGATGTAGGGCAGATGAGAAGAAACCATGCTAAGTGAAAGAAGGCATGAACCTGTGGGTGATCTGGGTTGATAGAGGTGTGTGTTGCTCAATGAACATGCTGAGAAGCTACCATAGAAAGATGGATACATGACAGGGCATACTTCAAAGTTTTTGAAAAGCATACTTTGAATTTCTGGCCAAGGCGTAATTCCAAGTGTTGCATACCTGTCTGCAGCCTCACAACTGCATCTAATGCTTGTACGCTTGATATCGTATGTAAAGAGTTAATGTAGTTTAGTAATTCAGGGACAAGGTTTTCAAGGTCTCTGGGCCCCATGAATGTAAAAAAAAAAAAAAAAAAAAAGGGGTTAAAGAAATAGTTTAGTAATTCAGGGACAAGGTTTTCAAGGTCTCTGGGTCTCATGAATGTTAAAAAAAAAAAAAAAAGGTGTTAAGGAATTTCGGTGTTGTCTAGCCTGTTTTTAGTGGAAATGAGGTTGTCTTGAAAAGCTAAATGTGCCCACTATTATCTTTTAAATCCTTAGCATATCTCCTGATTTACACTCAGTAAGTATTTGACGCTTTGTGAAAATAAAATGTAAAACATATAGTTACTGTCAAAATTATTAAAATATGCATTTTAGAAAAAAGAAAACATACATAAAATCTAAGGAAGAAGTTTAAATAATGAGAAAATTATGAGATGCATATATATTTTTTTCTGAACAATACAAGAAAAAATTATTATAATGTGTATGTGTAAAATAATTAAGACTGTTTATAGACTTAACAGGCATATTTCCTAATTCTAAATACTTAAATGTGTGCCCTGACTGGCTTTGAATTCCTTTTTTTTTTTTTTTTTTTGATGGAATAAAAAGAAATTGGCAGATGGCAGATGCAGAAGAGTTCTGTCTTCCCATGAAACCATTTTGAGAAAGATGATGCAAGCTGGCCTCTTTGATGATTGGAGAAAAGTGAATTCCTTTTATTCTATACCAATTTATATAAACCACGAACCTCAGCCAATCTCAGTATCAGATCGTGCCTCCTTAACTGTTGGTTTGACATAATCTTCTGCTGGCTAAAATAAGAAAATGAAAAAAAAAATAATTAAAGTCAATCAAATAAGAGGGAATAAGTTTTTTTTTAGCGCACTACTATTAAAGGGACATAAAAAAATCTACTTTTGGACTCTGAAAGCTGTCATACTAGGAAGACTGATTAACTTAGCAGTAGGTACGAAAACAGTGCTGCAGGCCAAAAAGGATCAGTTTGTAAGAGGCATGCAAAGTCTGGAAGGCATTCAGAAAGGGACGGGCTCTTTTAAATGTTAGAGGAATTAAGCCTCTACCTGGGGCAAATTAAATGCCTTAATACCGGAAAAAAAAATAGATCAAGGCTTGGAGATAAGTCAAGATGAGGCTGTTACTAGAGAGGGAGTAAAGCAAATTAAAATGTAAACCTGTAAACTAGGTATAGAATGGCAGTGGCGAAGAATATGAGGAAATTTTGGCTTTGCTACCTGAAAGATAGTTCAGGGGTGTACAGGTAGAGCTGTGCAGAAGAATTAGATAGTAGCTGTGTAAGAGCTCTGAATGTCCTGTCAACACTCATCTGCTTGTCTTTACTACTTGCAGTAACATATTTTCTGGTTACTTGTGACAATAGACACGTAAATGCATATTTGCAGGGTTCATTTTTATGGATTATTTGGGGAAGCCAAATAAACAGTTTAACAAAGTAGCAGCATGGGATAATCTGATTTTCAGAAATACAGGAGAATAAAAGTACAGCACCTCAACTTTGTAGGGTTTGCTCCAGAAAGATTTTTTTTTTTTCAAATGCAAGATCAGAAAAGTTGTCCACTGCACCTTTGTCTGTATCTGGAGCATTTGTTGAAAAAAATAAAAAAAAAAAAACAAACCATGGGAAACCAGAGACTAGGCTACACAGTTGGAAAACAGGCAGATGATGTGAGGTTAGTTTTTATAAATCCTGTAAGTTCTTTCTGAAACACTGGCCCTGGTCATGAAACATGTTAAAATCCACAAGGAATGTTTTATTAAAACAATTAAAATCTTTCATGTAAAGGTCATATGTAATTATTGTAGAGGAAATCAAGAAGACTTATTTAAAGCAATGAAAAATAAGGAGGAGCAATTAATGAAAATTACTTGGCAGCTCACTCATATTCTTTGGTTAGTAGGTAATTTGTTATTTATAGTACACTAGCAAGCTTGAAGACAATTAGACAAAAAACTCTACCAGCATGTAGAGGATAGTTCCAGCCTCAGTGGATGTGCAGTTTTATTTAAAACAAGACTGTTAATGGATATGAGTAGGTCCTAAGTTTATATGAGCACAGAAGAGAAGAGGGGTGAAAAAAGGGCAAAAGATTTCAGAATATACACTAGTATGAAAAATAGTAAGGAATGTGCTGTCCTGTGTTGGCTCCTCTGGCACTGTGGCTGGACAATCCACGCTGCACCTTCAAAGCAATTTTCCTTTTAGGTTTGTGTCCCCTGGATGCCAAACTTCTCCGCCTGTGCTCTGAGTGGTTTCTACAAACTGCAAAGTACATGGGAGTCATACTCCCTGGGAAAATAAATGCTGTTATGAAGAAAAAAAAAAAGTATCACTTAGTTTGTTCCCATTTCTTTACCACCTGCTGCTTTGTTGTGCTTTCAGGTGTGTAGAATGCTAGCACTGTCTCTGCCATCTTGTTCCTTGCATCTTTTTCTGCTATGATTTCTACAGAAGCATGGCTTTTTAGTGCTTGTATAATATTATTTATAAAAAAATCAACCATTTACAAAGTGATTAAGCACCATTAATGTTAAGAGATTTGTTAATCTTTTTTTTTTCTTCCATCAGAGGACTAAGAAGTATCCCAAGTCTGTCACAGTTTCATAGGTTAAAGTGTTTGTGGATTAACAACAACAAGGTAATACAGTATTCATTTAAAGAGCAGAACAATGCATCTGTACTCCCTGATTATTATTTTGTAATTTTCCTAACATAAAGTATTATATAATTGTCAAAGTAGTAAGTTATTTTTAATTTCCAGGCAAATTTAACTGATTTAAATGACAGTTTTGAGGAAACAGTATTTTGTTTTACATTACAGAGTATAAGCTGATATATTTTCCTTTACATTCACATCACATTTCTAGATTTTGTGTATTTAAGAAGCTGAGGTTTTGTGCTAATACTTTAGCAATAAAAAGAAAGATTGAGTATATTTAGGACTAAGTTACTGGCAAAATTTCCTGATAGCATACCCATACCTGAGGTCTGGGATAGCAGTTCCTAGTGTAGCTCATAGCAAGTATACCCTGCCCACCAGAGTGGGCAGCTCTGGGAACAGACCTAGGGGTGATATGGATGTAAGGTATTCTCGTCACAACTGGGCTTCCTAGTGTTTCAGGAAAGAAGCGGACTGCAGGTAACGCATAGCTTTTTTTTATGCCCTTGCAGACGTGCGTAGTTTATTTCCTGGCAGGCTGCTGGTTGAAGTGAGACTCCTTTTTGCCCTTGTGCACACCAGGGTGACATGTAACTCTCTCCGGTGTGCTTCTCCCGGTGCACAGGCAGTAGCACTGCAGTGCTGGGGTTGATGGAGTATCTTCTGCTGTTATGCAGGCCATTGTGTCACTAAACAGGTTTGATTTTAAGAGAGATTTCCAGGCAAGTGATTAGAGTATGACGTTAATTTTTCTTGTTTCCAATGCACTGTATGGTCCTAAATCAGTTACACAAACCATGTACCTTACTTTCTCCATCAGTGCAAATCTAGATTATAGTATTATATCCTGTAGGGGCTTTAACACAGTGCTCTGTGAAAATCTCTGGACACTAGTTTCCAGACAAGACTAGGCACATTGTATTTTACGCAAAATCATCTACTTGACAGTAGAATTACCTGATTTCAAAATCTCCAAACACACAGCCAACCATTATTAAATGGTTGAATTGAATCCAAACCTTCACCATTAGCAACTGGATATTAAAAAGCGATAAAAGTGATAAAACCCACGAATTTCTAACCTGCTTTTAAATATCTTACTATACAGTAGTTTGCATGACTTTCAAAATGGCCTCAAGTTCTTAAAACACCAGAATTGCTTGCTCAGGTAAATAAGTACCTCTGTGAGCAGCAGAAAAAATAAATTTACATTCCATGTCACTTAGGAGTGTGTGTATTATCTGCTGCCCCAGGCTAACATCAATTATATAGCATCTTATGTCGACTTCATTGAAATACCTGTGGTTATCCAACTATTTTCAAAAAAAGCAAAAATATGGATACATTAAAATGTTGAACTGAAATCACAGGTATAATAAAGCTTTACCTTGTATTTCTAAAGGACATTAAAGAGTAAGAGGAAATGGCCTGATGACTAAGCAGAACTGCTCTTGCTGAGCATAAAAGATAAGTGAATCTGATTTTTGCACAGATATCACTTTCCTACTAAGCAGTAACAAGGAACATTCTTCTGTTTTATATAACCTGTGTGGAAAAGCCACTCAGTGGCTTTTGTTAGAAGTCTCAGCTAAATGCTCTAATAGGAGGAGCATATTTTTCTGAATTCAGAAGATGAGAGATATTTTTTTTCTTTCCTTAAAAATGCATCACAATAATTTTATCACAAAAAAAGTAAATTTCAGATGATAGTAAAAAAGCCAAACTTTGCAAGATAGAGAAACACTACTATGTACAATAGGTATGCGTGGGCTTTACACTATACCAGATATAGTAATCATTGTGAAGAACAGGAGTTTTTTATTTGTGGTATATTTCTGTTTTCACTGAAACAGGTTTTTCTGAGGTGAAGCAAGACTCAGAGAATTAACTTTAAATATTTTGAACTTTAAAGTATCTTGTCTCAGAGAATTTCAGAGAAGTTTAGGAATGGAAAAACATCTGTCTTGTTATCCTCCTTCCAACTTTCAGACACTGTTAATACACAAAGCAAAGCACGTTTGTTTTAAAATCAGTGGCACAATTCAAGGACTGAAATAATTTCCCCACTAATAAAAGACTTTGCATCACAGAAATCAAAGTACTATCAGGAATAAAATTCTGTATGTTGTTCTTGCATTTAAACTGAAGAATAAATACATTATTATTATAAATACATTATTATAAATAAACTGAAGAATAAATACATTATTATAAATAATACTGTCAGCACCATTGGTACTGCCAGTTCTCAACTATTGTAATGGTCAGCTTGGTATCCCATTGCATATACTTTACCTTGCATTGAAGTGAAGACAATATTAGAACTGAGCTTCTCCAAGTGAGGGGATAAGATTTCATAGGGACTGAAGATAACTCTTTATTGGAAATATACCCATACACACTTTTTTTTTCTGGAATTGTAATTGATTCTGTGAATCTGATTAAATGTCATTTTTTGAAATTTAGTACAAATTTTGCTCTTTGGACCTGATGATGAAGAAATTTAAAATTAGGTGCTGGGCTTACTCCAAGGATATACTTCAGCAATATTCTTAAATCAACATAGAATTGTTACATCCTACAAGGATGTTCTCACAATAAAAATATTTCAAAGGTGAATAGAAGTAAAAGAAAATGTGAAGACCAGTAATTCAATGAAATTTGTTTCCAAATACAAATATTAAAATTGTAGTTCGAAAAAATCAGGTAAGGCTATGCTATGTGTATTTGATGTGTAATTAGTATTTATAATGAAGGTTCAGCTGTCAAGAGAATCCTTAAACCAAGAGTCTTATATAGAAATATAAGAAACTAACTATAGTTAAACTTCAAGAAGCTGTGTTTATACTTCACCAAAGTTAAATTTAGACTGACATATAACAGTTTTCCTAACTCTCATTTCAGATACAAGATTTAACCTTCTTGGTGAAAAACTATTGCTTGACCGAACTCTATCTCAACAATAATGAGTTGACGGATATATCAGGTACAAATATTCCCTTTTCAGATTGTTGAGCGAGGCCTGTACTTTCTTTTCTGTGTATTGGCATTCAAATTTATAAAAGTGGATGACAGCAGGTGACTTAATGGTTGAAAGCTCCTATGTATGCAAAACAGTACATGTTAATTATTTTCTTAGAGATTTAGTTGTTCCAGCATACTTGAGTGTCAATAAGGTGATACATTTATCCTAGTCTAAGGGGTGAAATGTCATTCACATTAATGTCAGGGAATTGTAAAATATTTTTGATCTTACATGACCACTTTTCATATTGAAAATGAACATCAGAGCTCTGTCTACATGATGATTTGTAGTCCTCTTGCTGACCAGATACTCTGTAACCCTACAGAAGTTCCTTTTGAGACCCATTTATATTCATATGACGAAAAACTGGTAACAATGCTGACAGACTTTAACATGAAAAAAAAAAGGGTAGTGAATTAATAAATTGTCCCACTTGAAGGCAGTCACTAAGGTTCTGCAGTTTCTTCATGATATAGTTGCATTAATAATCAGAAGTGTTTTCTGAAGTTACTACAAAGCTGTTTTATTGTAAAATTGCATCTGTTTACACTTCTATTTCGGTTTTGCTTGCTCTTGTAGATTAAAGTTGCTGTACCAGACTAGTGAATTGTAAATGAAGATGCCAAAGCATAATAAATTTGTGTGTATCCTGGACATTTTAAATGTTAATATTTTACTTTTCTTTGTCCCTATAAAATGTTGGGATGAGAAATGATGTTGATTAGTTTCTGTGAGATTTTGAGAAAAAATGAATGTTTGAAAGAAAGAAACATATGGGCACAAGAGAACACACAGAAGATAACGAAGTATTGGTAAACAGAAGGGCAGGTATCGCTTATAGAGAAATGTGGATGAGAAATACTTTATAGAATTTGGAAAATGAGATGTCTACACCTGATGTGGTGTGAGGATGTGAACACATAAGTCTGGGTCAGCCACAGCAATATTATGTAATGACTTTTAAAAACATTACTACCTATTTGAAATGGAACTATTTTCTAAGGAATTCACTATTTATTGTTTGTGAGGGAAAGGTAATATTAAGTAAGGGTAAAAGAAAGTGAAGATGAATTAATCAGAGATTACTGGGATTTGGGAGGAAGGAGAGGGGATGCAATTGATGTTGATTTGTTGAGGCAATGGTCGTGGGGACAAATGGAAGGAACTGTAATGAAAAAACTCAGATGTTCAGAGGATGTGACTAGAAAGATGAAAGGCATATTGAAATCTCTGATAATTTTTTTTTTACTAATCTCATGCAAGGTGTTACCAAAAGGCAGGCACAGATGGATAACTAGAATATTGAATTCAGTGTGCAGCATAACAAAGTAATTGTCTAATAAAGGCAGTCAGATACAGTGACAATAATTAATTGTTTTTCATTTTATTTCAGGTGCTCTGAAACACTTATGTGTGTTACAGATTCTGTTGCTTCACAACAACCAGTTAAAAAAACTTGACAGAACAGTGAAGGAATTGAAAGGAATGATAAGCTTGCAGACCCTAAGTAATACCTTATTTTTATTTTGCAGAACAGTGAGCACTAGTTTTTTTAGTGTTTCTTATCAGGATGTTTCTTGTCTGTTTCTGCATCGTTTGCCAATAGCTTTTGAAGCTGCTTATAAATTTCAACCAAATTTGACATAAGAAAGAGATCTCTGAGACATGAAAATCCAACAGAGAGTACCCAACTAAGAAAAAACTTCCAAATGAGTTCAAAAGTTAGCTCTTTTTGGCTGCTGGCTAGCCAGTCTCCTGGATGAGTAGTTTGGAGGCAGTCAAAGCAGTTTAGTGCTACGTTTTTGTAAGGGAACATGGGTGTACAGTGACATTATCACAGAGGTGAAAGGAGTTGAGAAATGTGTGTTATTGCTGTTGAGAGTGCGAATGGCAGGTTATAGAGCCCAAATTCCTGCCTCATTAATTCTGTTGCTCATAGAACTTAGTTGCTGCATCTTTTTGGCAGACTCTGTGGATTTCTAGAGTCTAAGAATAAATCTGCTTTAGATATTAAGTATAACAATATATGTTAAGTAGCATGCTTTTTGATATACTTGCTGGAAATGAAAGTAGCATAGGCTCTGAAATTTCAGATTAAGTTATACAAGATTGTATTGGCGCCACTAATTTACAAGGTAAGAATTAGCCTCCAGGGAAAGTAGGATTATATGCTGTAAACCTATGGAAAGTGAAAGCGTAAGCAGTCTTTTTGTTTGGTTCCTAAAAGAATGTTGTCATAGCTCATGCCAAACGCTCAGTACTTTGAGAAAACAGGAAACAAGTTTTGTGTCTTAGTGGTACAATGAATGGAGGTGAATGTTATTATGCATTCAAAGAATTGAATGTCTGGTTGTAGGAAAGGAAAATATGACTTGAAAAGTACACTTTTAATTGAATTTGACCCTGGGCCAAAAACCAAATGAGGTCTTCAGGAAGTCTTTGCCAGCCAAATTATTGTAATTTTTTTCATTATATGCAAGATTGAAGAAGTAGTCCATTTAAGAAGGCAGTTGTTGGAAGTGATGAGGCAAAGTCTGGACAGACATCCTATGTATGAATGGTGCAGTCGCTTGAATTTAATGTTAGAGCCCTACCAGTTAATAAGGAACTTCAACAAGCACAGGGAGTTTGTTGTACTTGTTGCAACCATCTGTGTGAAATAAAGACAAAGAGCAGGTAGTTAAAGTGCTGCCAAGTTATTATGAATGGCAGTCACAAAGACAGAGTGAAAATTGGTGCATATTGGACTAGCCACCATCATAGGAAAGAAAGTGTTTAAGAGAACTGTCAAACAACATATAAAGTATACCGATCTACTCTGAGTAAAGCATTGTTCTTTAGTTCAGAGATATAAGAGTAAATGCTAAACAGTGGAAGAACGTTAAAAACTTTAACTTTACAGTTAGTCCTTTTTGACCTTTGCAGTCATGAAAAAATTGTCAGTGTGTTTGTTTCAAAGAGATTTCATAAAAATGAGTTCTCAAATTAACAGGACTGTTGGTTTAATAAAATGCACTGTCATATTTGAGGTAAATGACAGCAGTAAATGAACAAAATAAATTTTCAAAGTAATGTCCTATATATCATATCATATTACTATATAATTTATTTGCCTACTTGCAAAATTCAGAAGTGTGAAGTGGCTGCAGAATTTGCACTGTGTAGCTTTGAAAAGGCTCATCATAATTCATCTTTATAAAAGAAAGTCTCTTTTGGGAATAGGAGACTTCTCACTGTTGCGAGGTAGATCTTTTTTATTGCTGGACAATCCAATTAAAGAAACCCGCTTGGTAGCCTTCAGCAGAACTTCTGGATGCATGGTAACATTTTATTATTTTGTAGCTCTTGAGGACATTAGAACTATTAAAATGAAGCAGTCTAAGACACTATTATTGTTCACTTCAGAAGTAGCATCCAGCTGCCAAAATGTTACATTTCTCTTCCTTAAGGCTCTCTTGTGATTTTTAGACACTGCCCTGCACTGGAATTCTAGCATAACACCATTCTTCATGAGGCGCTTAGGGAAGACACTCCTCAGCTTTTAAAGATTTACCAAGTGGGTTGCTTACAGCTGCAGCCTTTGGGGAGATATGGAGGGTTTCTTTATGGGCTTACCTTGTGCTCACTTCTCCCTTTTGGAATCCAAGATTTTTGTTATGTACTCTGTAAATTGCCTCAACTGATTTATTATCCACAGCTGATAACATCTTGCTGCTAGACCTCAGAAAACTCCTTTTGTTCTTCAATATGTTTCTACCACAGTAGTTCCTTTCCACCCCATGTGGGTTAGGCACACTGTTTTCCTACACTCCAAATAGAGAAAACAGACAAAAATGTGGAGGAAGAAAGCATTACCCCTAATTTGTAGATGTAAAATTGCATGACCTTGACAAGAAAGTAGATAGCAGAGCCAAGAATTGATCCCAGATGTTTTGTAAAATAAGACCATCTTGCTCCATACAATGGTTGGATTTGTTGTAAGAACGAGCAGTAGAAAAATTCATATACTCTACAAGAAACCTACAGTCAGTGTTGATGAGGAGGGATGTGCTCCAAGTAGCATCCAGATTCAGAAGTACTTACTATCAACGCTGCTTTGTGCCTTGGAGAAATCTCTCTTGAATCTTCCATTCCCTTCCACTACCAAACATACCTGCTTTTGTAGATCTTTCTGAAACATTTTTCTCTCTGGAATGCTATAATGTATTTTCTTGACTCAAGAACAGACTTAGCACATATATACCTACTATTCTTTCTGATTAACTCTTTCTAGAAAAAATAGCTATATACTACTTCATTCAGTAAAAATGGAACTTTCTTTTGCTGCCACCTTGTGGGTCTCTTACTACTTCTAAGTACAGTGATTTTTAAAAATTTGTTAAAGAATTCAAATATTTTAAGTTCTCCTCTGAATACACGAGCAGCCATTTCCTGTGTAGGAGATACCAAATGCCCATTCCAGCCTTACTGCGCCCTCAAAATAACTGCTACATCGCATCAAGCACTGAGCCCTCTTTGGCAGTCATACTTATCCTGAAGAACATGAAATGACATCTTTTAGTTTACAAATCTGTGTGGTATCGTCTAGTATCTCTTATTTGCTTCTGTAATACCATCTTTCCCTCCCTAGCTGTTAAAATTGAGTATAACAGGCTTTTTTAACCTAGAGTGAATATTAGCCACGGCCTCACCTCAAAAAGAGAAAACCAGACCAGTGTAGACTTTGGTTGTCAAAATGATTAATTTGAGATTTTTTTTCTCTGCTCTGATCTCAAAGTAGCATCCTGATTATTTTGCTGCTCCTGTCTCAGAAGAACAGCATTTGTATAAGGAGAAAATTAGCATTGTTATGTTTTTCATTTAGAAAAAAACCCCACCCAACAACACTTGTTTGTTTGTTTGTTAGCTGATCTGGGAATGAGTCAGTTTCTATTTTAATCAACCTCAGATATCACTTCATGAAACACACTGTCAGCTAGGCAAATGTTCCACATCTGGCAAAGCAGCAACACAGTATTGATACCTGTCTCTGTGTTGCAAAGGTTTGGTTATTCAGGCAATGTGAACCTGAACTTAAGTATTTTAGTCAAGCTGCTAATGGGCTTTTGGAGCTGAGTACCTCAAGTCTCAATGAAAGTTAGTGGGACGCAGGTTCTCAGGAACTTAGGCCCTTTTAAACATTTTATTCTTCAAGTTTCTTGAGTTTTCAAACTCATCATCTGTCAAAACATAAGAAGACTCAGTATTTACATTTTATATTGTGTCTATGGGATAAAAACTGAAAATAAGCTATGATAAAGCCTTAGGTGTCCCAAAGCTCATCTGGTTTTAATAACTCTCTCCACCTACAAATTTTGTCTTACCTTTAAGCTGTCATACCTAAAAGACTACTGTTATTTAAAATAGGCGTCAGCTAACAATACATAAGAAAATCAAAGGCAAACACTCAGTGGTTTTGTCTGTGTATCGTAAAAAATAGAAAAAAACTCCAAAAGTTTGGAGCATGTGATGGCACCTTTACTCACTTCTTGCCTGTGGTATTTTGCATACTCTGCAATAAGCCAGCTCTTGCAGTCCATGTTTAGTTGAGCAATTTTGCATGTGTCTGAAGCTTAATGTGCTTTGTTTACCCAGCATAAAAACAATTTGAATTTGATAATATTTTGTACAAAATCTTTGGCTACTAGTGGTCTTTCATTTTCTTACCTTGCTAAGTTAGTTGTTTTTCCATTGCTGGGTTTTTTTTTTTGTGATGATGTTTGTTTTTTCTGTATACATTTTGCAGACCTATTCCATAACCCTCTGGCACAAGACCCAGACTACCGGCTCTATGTGATACACTTCCTTCCTTCAGTACAGCTCCTTGACAGGAAGTGTAAGGATTGCTTTCCTTTTCTCACAAAACATTGACAGTTGCTTTTGATTTTAATCACTTTGGAAAAATAGCTGAATTAATCTTGCCTGTTCTTTTACTTGCATTTGTTGATATAGCAAAAGATCTAATGAACAGATACTCATTTTTTGTACGATTTGTCAAGCAAATAGAGTTTTCATGGCATAAACAGTTTATCAAATGATTTTGATTTCTGTCTTTTTATACTGTGTTTTTTTATCTTGTATCTTGGTTTGTATATTTTTGGGTAAGACAGATAAAAGCCTGTGCGTAAAAACATGTACCTACATTTGTGCATTCAAACAGGTATATTCAGATGGGTGAGCATTGTTTACTTGGATATGGATAATATCCTCAGCTATCTACATGTTTCTGTACAGTTTAAATATGTATGTGCACATTTATTGATGAGGTACATGCTGACCAAGTTTTCAAATAGAAATCTTCATAAATCATGAAGAGATCTTTCACAGCTTGTCTACTATAAATTCTACAGGAAAAAAAAAAAAAAAGGTCTTAAGAATAGCCAGCTGATAAATCAGTCAATCCATAACATGCCGCAGCAGACCCACAAAAATCAGCTTTGGTGATTTTTGTCTCTGGTGTTTGGAGAACTACGTGATTGGCAGGAGAACTGAAAATTACTGGAGAGCACTGAGAAAGGTGTTGATTCCTACCCCAGCTCCACCTCCTAAGAAAGCAACAAGGAGAAGCAATGTAATCTTGAAAACCTGCTCCCAGTCTCTAGGAGATTGAGGATGGAAGACTGAAGGAAGGCAGCCACAGGACAGCTGCAGGTGCTGGCAGGCTGCATAGCTCTGTCGTGAAGGAAAGCTGGTGGATGGCCACAGCATTTGTCAGGGGTTGATGAGGATCTGACCACGTGGCCATTTTCTTACACATTCATTTTGCACTGGTACCTCCAGACTCTTGAATATGGGATCTTGTGTTACGTCTATGCTTAGCATGTCTGTCAGGCTGTTTTACTAATGATCATTTTTGACTAGGGAGCGATGACTGAAAATGTGCTGGAAAATACATGTTGCATTTACAGCTCTCGAAACACTTCCATAAAACTTCCTGGACTTAATCTCCTAAATACAGTAATACTGTAATCAGTCCTGGATTTAGACTTGAGGCATTAATTTGTATCAAGCTCTGCCCTGGACTTTCTGTTTAGTGAACTGTTTCTCTAACATTACAAAGCTTCTTCACCATCTGTGGAGCATTACCACAGCATAGTCCTGGCTGTCTCCTTTATGCAAGACGTGTTCACACTTCTGTTACCTCCAGGCATGGCCACTGCAGTTCCTTCCTAATTGGTCCCCTAGACACCATGACTTAAAAACTTTCCTGGATTCAAAAGGCTTCTACCAGCGTTAGTTACTTGCTCTAAACCTTTAGCTCACTTCTGTTCTGCAGCTGAAGTACTAGCTAAGTATGCAGTTCATATCATTGAAGCTAAAATTCCCTATTTGACTTAACAGTCTCAAACTCAAGTTATTTTTGAATTAAAGTTCAAAACAGGAAAATCTGAAGCTTTTCTTTTGATGGCACTCCTACAGTTTTCTCTGTAATTGAGCAACGGGAATTGAACTGGCCTTAAACCAGGACTTGTTTTTGCCATTCATAAACTTCCAAATCTTTACTGACTTCTGCAGAAGATCTTATGTAAATGGTATGAAAGGTCTTCCTTTACTCTTTCTTGGTTTAAAACTTCTAATTCTGCCACACTCAGTAGTATTTTATTGGACAGGGCTTTACCCTAAAACCTTAGGAAGTATCACTCCATGTTCCTATTTTGAATTCTTGTAAAATGATGCAGCTTTATACTGCTATTGTCACAAAACTCTGCACAAAAAGTGAATCACCTTCTGCATGCAGATAGATAATACCAGCCTTTTAACTTGGTAGAAAAATTAAAACTTTTGTATCCCTTTTAACAGCAGTTACACAAAGAGAAAGGGAGTCAGCGCTTCACCTGTATAACCATGAAAGGTCTTGTGTCATGCAGTCAGTAGCTTTTGGAAGGAGAGTAAATACATCAGGATCTAGCAGATGCACTCAGGCAGCCAGAAGACTGATGATACCCTCAGGTATTTATAATGATGTAAGGAAAAGCACACATTTCTAGGTGCTTTGGATTAGAAAAAGTTCTTTTCATTAATCTCATAAAGTTACTGGTTTTGGTAATAGAGTATAAATGCATCAGGACCTCAACCAAATTGCTTCATAAAGTGAGTAGTAGCAGTGACAGGCAACAAATGAATCCTTCTGTTAAGAATACTGTGGCAAATAAGTTCTAGTCACTCCCTTTAGTTACAGAATTGTCTTTAAAGATAGATGAACAAACGTTTTTCCAGTATGTGCCTTCTGAGTGTTTAGTTTTATTTATTTAAAAAAATCTCACTACACTTCTAGGCTGAGTCTCAGACAGTGATCAGCATAATAGAGTTTTGATGCCCTCTAGTGATTTCATAGAACAATCTCTTGAAGAAAGTATTTTCTTCTAAATAGTGTTTTAAATTTTGCATATCTTGCCTAGTTTTGTAAGCAGATTCCTTTTTATGCTTTCCAAGCTGAGAATATTTTAATGATGTCCTATGATAGCATATAAAGTAAATTATAGAGCTCTTAAAACATTCAGATCTGGACGACAGCTTGATCCTGGCACAAGAAAACAGGTGAACACCACCTGGAACCTTGTGGCTTGTACTGTATGGCAGTCCAGAACAAACCTTGAAATCCCACAGTCTTGTCTGCTTTTTTGATGTTTTAAAGATAAGAAAAACAATATTGTGCATAGATGACTAAAACGGTAGCATTTTAGAAAGTAGCGTAGGTGAAGTTTGGAACAGTAATAAAATACCTGCAATTTTTTTTAATGTGTATTATCACAATAATAAACCTGAAAGCAGTGTATTTAACAATAATTTTGAAAAGGTTGGGAAAAAAAGGTAGTTTTAGAATATTTAATTATTTACTTGTTTTGCTGATAATTATCAAAGTAGGCATACAATTGTCTTTATCTCTACCATGCAGTCATTCACATATATAGACAGTGGCGCCATTTTTCTGTGAAAGAAAAAAAAGCATGGAAATGTATGTCTATGGGAAATAAATTACAAGAACTACATAAACTCAAAAAAAAAACAACCCATCAGATACTTGTTTCCACAGTAATTTAATAAAAGATGATCTTGAGCACTTCAAATAATCCGCTGGTTTTCAGTTCATTTGAACAAGTAATTTAGGATCAGGATGGTAATCCTCAGCTAATTAAAATGCTGTACAGCCATCAATGTCTTAATTTGAACTTTTTGTTACAGGTTGTGAATTTGGAAATCACACAAATAAGTAAGTCATTTTTTTGTCTTTTGCATCTCTGAAGCATTTACTTTATTTCCTCTTCTTGTGCCTGAAAAATACCCTAATCAGAAAAAGTGTCCAGTAAAAATGAGCTTTTGAAAAAATTTCTGGTCTTTGTATTTAACGGAGTTGCAACTCTATACTATTCTGATGAGACAACCTTCCTGCTGCTGTCTGAAATTTAATATTGAGAAGTATTCCACATTTGGAAATGGGTATATAAAAATGGTATTTATTTATAAGATCAAATACTGATCACTAGAAAAAGCATGCTTTAAGTATTAGAGCATGAGAATAGCTGTTCTATATTATGGCCCAGAAAACTTTCTCCTGGTGGGCTGTTCAAAAATACATGCTCCCTGGAAAATATTATGACTTGTAGAATGAAACTTTTTTGGTCTGTACTTGATGTTACTTTTATTCTGTTCTGTTTCACAATCATAGAAATAAATGTAAAAGTTATCTCTGTTATCTCTGTGTCTGGACTGAGGCAGGATAAGGTTGCATTTTAATGTGATGACATTTTTAGATGCTGTCTTTATAGAAGTAAATTTAGAAACTTCAGATATCAGGCTTGTTTTTACTTTCTAGCTTTACACATGAAAATATTTGAAAAATTTATTAAAGGAAATAATAAAAGCCTACAAATTATATCCCTCAACAATTTGATTTTATATAGCTACTCACTTTAAGTACAGCTCTTTACGATCAAGCTAATTTCTGTTTAAAAATGAATTCTTACCTGCTTTCAATGGAGTTAGCTGTCCGCATTGACAGAATGGATGTACAGCTTCCTCTCCATCTAATGTAGATGCTTAGGCTTTGTAAGGTACCTTATCGTGACAGAGTGTGTTATACTCGGTGGAAATAGTCACATGGTTTACATCAGGTGTGTATTGCTACAAGTACATCTTTATGAAATAAGTTCTTCTAAGATCAGACTTTAATATTGTATTGGAGGTAAAAGGTTTTGGCCTGACATGAAATCCTTGTCAATTCTGCATTGATGGTGTGAGTCTGCCACTTTCCTCTTGCAGACTGCAGCTGCAGCAGGATACATGAACAACACAAGCTCACAGTGTTCTGGATTCAGAGCTTGGAGAAGGGATATTTGCATTTGCTTTGTTCTTTTTGCAGAGTACCATTTGAGAACCCTGAAGATGCCGTTTTACTACGGGCAATGACAAGATCTCTCATGGAATTTTCCTCTGTTGACTGGAACAAAGTAGCCACCTGTCAAGAAAGACGGCTTGGAAACAAAGCTGAAGAACCGCATGACAAGCTGACAATCCAATTTAGATGAGTGCTTTCTTCCTTAAGAAAAAAAAAATTCCTCTTTCTAGTGTGAAGGTAAGCCTCTTAATGTCTCTATAAAATGAATACACTAAACGATGTATCTAATTAAATGAACTTCCAGCAAAAAAAAGTGTTGGTGTAACATTCGTTTTACCATCACATATGTAATATGGAGAGTGAAGAAATTAAGGTAACAAATTATAGTGGCAATGTTACAATAAAAGTTGCTTGGAATGCAATTCTTACCATACTTTTGTTATCAGAAATTCTTAAAACTAAACAGCAAGTTAATTTTTAAGAAACTAGGGATAAATAATTTCATTCTTTATAGTTTCTGTGGGAGAATTAGATTTACCATGTTCACTAGCAGTAATTTGTCTTCCTCTCTCAAAATAAAGATATGAAAAAGCAACCATTAAGCTTTTCTGATTTCTGAGAGGGGTTAAAGTTTCAATATGCCAATTTGCGTGCTGTATGAATGCAATGAAACCTCTTAGTTTTATGAGGCTCCTCATTTGGTCTCAATACAGTGGAACCGCGAGCTCTTAAGCATGCGGGTGTCTAGCTCTTGGCTGTGGCTGGTAATATTCTCCCAGGATGCAGGCCTCTACTTACTGGTCCTTTTGGAGAGACAGGACTTGGCATATGCAATGCACTGCCCCAAGACTGCTGACTGGTTTTAACACTCTCTCTTTTATACCCATATGGGTCATACAATGCTGTAGCACTACACCTGACAGCTTCGGCTTCTAAAGCCTGTTACCACTAAGGAAGCTAGTGGGAAATGTGCATATAGATGGAAAATAATACATTTCCTCACATCTTTCTCCCTCTGTTCTGACAAAGGCTTAAAGTCTGATGTATCAATGCCCATCTTCAGACTGTGTCTGTCATCTGAGTTCATTCTTTCTCTCCTAAGTGAGCACAGTCACAGGACAGTCTAGGGTGGAAGGGATCTATGGAGCTTATCTAGTCCAACCTTCCCGCTGCAAGCAGGTCTGAGATGAGGTTATCCAGTGCCCCGTCAAGATGAGTCAAGTATTTACCATGAGGGAGGTACCACTACTTCCTGGCAATCTCTTTCAGTGTTTAATTGCACTCCAGAGAATTTTTCTTATATACAGATGGAATTTCACCTGCAACAACTTGAGCCTGTTGTCTGTTTTTCTGTCACTGTGCATCCCCCATCTTCTCTATAACTACCTCTAGATATTGTAAGACTGTGATTAGATCTCCCCGAGGCTTCTTTCCTCTGGGATAAACAAACCAAATTCCTCCAACCCTCTGATCATCATGCTGGCACCCTTGCTGGCACTCTCTTGGTTTTTAATGTCTCTCTTGAACCTAGCTGACCAAAAATGGGACACAGCATTTCAGATGTGGCCTAGCAAGCGCCAAGGCAAGTGCAGTAATTATTGATTTGCTGGCTGTACTCTACTTTTGTCTTCACCTATGCATGGCACCATTTACCTTCAGTGCTGCCAGGGCACGCTGCTGGCTCCAGGGGAGCTTGCTGCCCACCAGGACCCCCAGGTCCTTTTCAGCAGATCCAGACAGATCTCAGTCTGTACTGCTCTGTGGGATTATTCCATCCCAGATAGAGGAGTTCATCTTTGTTAAATCTGGTAATTCCTTTCACCCTGTTGATGTTAGATTGTCAAAACGTTTGAGTCTGTTTTAGAGCCATTAGTGAAAAAGGAATAATGTTAGCTATTTATATATGAAGAAATACTAAATTACAAAGGTAATTTCAAATTTAGCTGAGAATTCCCTTTAGTTAGATGAAAAAAACCTTGAAAATCTATTTGCATCAAAAATCTCAAGTCATTTGAACATGCAACATTTAGTTCACTAGAAAACATGCCCAGATAATTTTAGAAGCTTTTCCATATCCTTAATTCAATCAGATTTCCTAGGGTGAAAATATTAAAAACCAGCCTAAAAGTGAACTTGGGAGCAAGAACTGCAATGGAGCAGGCTAGACAGACATGGCAGTTATGTTCTTACATCTAGCAAAACAGCTGGAGAAGTGAGAATTCTATTCTTCCTAGTGGAGGGGAGAAAAGTCTTTTGAATCACATGCCCTAGAAAGTATAAGAGTAAGTATGTCTGTTGGCTTTGCACTCCACAGCTGCCTTGTCACTTAAAACCTTGCTTAAGAAATCAGTAAATTCCATATCAATTTTCATTCTACTTTAAGTTCCTTATAAGTAATGTCACATGAGATGTTTCCTTCAATTCATGATTAAACAAGAGCCAGTCATTACCCCAGTTTTATGCAGGACCTATCAACCACAATCCTCCAACAGACGGGCTGGCGCCAGCTCCAGCTGAGGAAGGCAGGGGCAGCTCTGGAGCAACAGTGTGCATCAGGACCCTAACTGGGATTGCAATTGCTCTCCCCTGAGACTCACTGCAAACAGAGGGAAGTGTGGCAGCCTCTGCTCCCAACGACTTTGAAGCTAGAATGAGAACAAATGCAACTCCCTCATCTGGGTCAATGATCCCACACTTCACGCCTATTTCCAATGTCCATGCTTTCTCCTATTGCTTGGGCTTTTCTTCTTTCCCAAGAAAAAGCACTGGCTGGCAGAATGAAAGCAGGTTTGTGCTGTGCATTTTACCACACTTGGAAAATCCCGACTCATTTGTCCTAAAGGGCTGGCATTTTCACAGAAACCTTAACAAGCAACACATCCCCATGAGCCCTAAATGCTGTGTGTAGAATGCGGAACCAGCAGCATTTCCGCATTCCCAGATCCCAGAGTGGACAGCGACTACATCATGACTCTGTATCTGAGCTCCAGGCATGCGTCTCTTGCTTGCCAATTGTCCTGAAATTAAACTTGTACACCCAAGCTTCAGCAGGCCCATGCATGTCAAATGAGAAATGCATCATAGGTCCCAACAGGCGTTATAGATGCAGTAAACAGAATTGCCACGCAGCTCCCTTCTTTTAAAAAACTTCCCTTTATTCTTCACAATTTACTAATCCTTGAAATTAAATACAGGTACATTCCCTGCACAGATGCATTTCGGTATCCTCACTCTTAACAGATTTCTGAATATTAAACAAAGACTTTCAAGATATTAAATAGTAAAAAATTAATAGCATTTTTCCTCTGTTTTGAAGAGGGTCCTTATTCCGCTAAGTTGAAGAATATTGCCATGTTTGAAACACCAGTTATTCATCCAACAACAAGATAATCTCAAATTTTGCCATCTTCACGCAGCAAGAGATATTTTTGGTTGTGGCACTTCCATTGATTTCATGAGACACAGTAGTAAATCTAAGTGAAAACAGCACAATTAAGGGAAGCTATTTTCCAGAGACAGTATTTAACTGAAAGCCTAAGTGAAATCCCTGTTGTACCAATGCACACATGAGTTTTCCCACCTAATTCACTGGGAACAAATTGAGCATGAACAATATTAAGCATCTTTTATATTAATGAAATAATTAATAAGCAAAATCCCAGTGTGCTCAAAGTCATATTTACCTGAAAGCTGAGATTTAGAAACCATTATTCTTGTCAGTCAAAATGTCTTAAGTCATTCTGGTCTTCCCTTCATTAGACTTACTTCAATAAACTTGGAATATTTTTGACCAAACCAATAGTGAAATAATTCTGTTGAAACATACATTTCAGTCAGCTTGAGACATCTTAAACAGCAATATCATTTAATAAAATTCCCACAAAATAGACACTATTGTTGTGCACTCACTAGTCAAAACTATTTACAGTAACATAATGAAAAGTTGAGAATTCAGATGAGTATCTTCAGAACCTTAATTGCTACTGGAATCCCTTCAGATAAAGCTTCATAAAGTGGTGTAAAAAAGCAATTTAACAGTTAGCTTCCCCATGCTGTTAGCTACAGTTCTGGGTACGTGCAGAAAAAAATATTTAAGTTACAATTAAAATAGGTTTTAGGTTCTGAACACATGAATAATCCACATCAAATACTTTTTATTTTTCACTAAGTGGCTGATTAACCACAGATGCAGATTTTTACTATGCTCGCTGTTGGTATACATACAGATGGATCTATGCCACTCTAGTTTTTATCAGATAATAAATACCTATTTTGACAATCTACAACAGAACCTGAAGTATTTATAGACAAATTAACCAGTATTTCATCTCATGATGAACAGAGACATGCTGTCTTTCAAAAGGAATCTTGCATAAGCCACGCTGTAAGAACGCAGAGATGGTCAGCATAAAAAAAATTCTTCAGGACCCTTGAGGTACAGGGATGTAGCCAGCACTCTTTGTCCCTACTTACCATCTTTTTACTCCTCAGAATCTTGAATTTTTTGAAGAGCAATGTCAGCTAAGCCGGTCTCACTTTCCAGTGGACTTTCACGATGCAGGGCGAGGGCCTCTGTCTCTTTGGTAAACTCAGGCTCTTCCATTTGGTCAATAGCGTGATTTGAATCCACTTCTTTAGTAGCACCTGGACCAGGATCTGACTGTTCTTCATTTGTAGAACTACCCTCTACTAGTTGCACTTCATCTAAACAAAAGAGAAATTGCATCATCAGTGAATACTGAGCACATCTGCAAGCAGACATTTTTATTACCAAAGAATAATAAACACTAGGAAACTCTGCATCAATTACAAAAATGATTAATTTAACCAAGCTTCACCAAAAAAGACCTAAGACGCTAGAGTTCTGCTTAAGTTGGTGTAAGATTACTGTGAAACTAACCTTACACAAAGCTCTCATTAATTTATCTTCAATTGTGCCATACTTCTTTTTAATGTAGAGGAGCAGAGTAGGACACTACAGCTATTTTAACTTTGAATTCAAACATGCTTTATTCACACTATTCCTACAATTAGCTTTTCAAAGAATGGCTGCAGGCTGATTAAATGCTGATTAAACAGAGTACAGGTAGGGTTTTCTTAAAGAAAAAAGGCATGTATGTGATTATGTAGGAAGCATTTTTGCATATAGCAGACTGAAGAAATTCTTTGCTAATCAACAGCTGATCACAA